CCAACTATTTCTATTAATGTAAAACTGTCTTATTTTCCCCTTCAATTCTGTCATTGTTTCCTTTGTGTATATTGGGGCTGTATTCTATGAGGCATATATACTTATAATTATTGTCTCTTCTTGGTGAATTTACCTTTTCCTCAGCATATTTTGTCCTTTGTCTCATAATGGTTTTTGACAAAGTTTGTGTATTGTCTGATAATCTGTATAATCGCCTCTGTTGTCTTTCATTGTTTGCATGGAAATCTCTCCTTTCACTGAACCTGTTTGTCTCTACATCTCATGTTAGTTAGATTCTTCAAATATTCTGTTCATCTCTGCATTTTGATTGGAGAGTTTATCTATTGATATTGCTGATACAAAAGGATTTCTGCCATTTTCTACTTGCTTTCTGGAAAGAGTTTTGCCCCATATTTTCTCCATTACACCTTTTTTTGTGTTTAGTTGATTTTTTTTTTATTTTTTGACATGCAGAGTGGACAGTGAGAGAGAGAGAGAGAAAGGTCTTCCTTTGCCATTGGTTCACCCTCCAATGGCCGCCACGGCCTGAGCACTGCAGCCGGCGCACTGCGCTGATCCGAAGCCAGGAGCCAGGTGCTTCTCCTGGTCTCCCATGGGGTGCAGGGCCCAAGCACCTGGGCCATCCTCCACTGCACTCCCGGGCCACAGCAGAGAGCTGGCCTGGAAGAGGGGCAACCGGGACAGAATCTGGCGCCCCGACCGGGACTAGAACCAGGTGTGCCGGCGCCGCAAGGCGGAGGATTAGCCTGTTAAGCCACGGCACCGGCCCTGTGTTTAGTTGATTTTTCTGTGTGATGTTTCTTTTTGAGTCATTCTGGTATGTAATCTTTCAAGCAAATTTCCATTTCTTCTGAGTTGTCAAATTTATTGTAGACTTAACTCATAAAATTCCTACATTATGTGTTTTTAAAGTTTTATTTATTTGAAAGGCAGGGAGGGAGAGAGAGCAAGAAAGAGAGCTCTCCCATTGCTGGTTCCTTATTCCAAATGCCCACAACAGCGAGGGAGGGTCAGGCCAGAGCTAGCAGCCCATAAATCAATCCAGGTTTCCTATAGGGGTGGCGGGGACCAACCAGGTACTTGAACTATCACTTGCTGCCTCCCAGGAAGTGCAACAGCAGGAGGCTAAAATCAGAAGTGGAGCCAGGACTTGAACACAGGCACTGCATTATGGGATGTAGGTGTCCCAAGTGGTGTCTCAAATGCTGTGCCAAATGCCTACCCCCATTTTCTTCAGTTACATTTTTTTTAAAAATTAGGATTTACAAGTATTTTTTATTTTTTTAGAATTTCTGAGAAATGACCAAAAGTTCATGAAGAAAAATCTGGATTAGTTTTAACAATCTCTGAGAACTTTAAATTTTAGATTTGCATATTTTGAAACAACTCCTAAATAAGAGACTAAAAACAATACTTAGGCATCCTGGCCACATAAGGGAACCCTGCCACCTTGCGTCCGGCGTCTGGCTCTTGCCTTTGAGCTTGCTGCTTTGGCAGTCTTTTACTGCCCCCCACAGACTCTGAGAACAAGGGATCTGCGGTAACAGTCATGCTCGGGTGTTTGCCCGCTCGCCTCCCACGCCTCCCGCGGGGCTCGAGTGCCTGGTGGAGCTGCGCTTGGGACTGTGGCTTCTCTGCTGCCCGTGCCTCTTTCTGGTCCTGGCTCCTGGCAGGCTCGTGGTCTTGCTCTTTGTGGGAGGGCAAGGTGTGTTCATCGGGTTTATTAGAAATCTTTAGTTTGTACCAGCAAGAAGACACTTCGTCCAGCCCGTGGGGCCCATTGTTCCTGCTCTGGTTTTCCCACGCCTGCCTCCTCTAGCAGTTCTGCCACTTTCCTCTCCTGCTCTCTTGGTCGTCCTCCATCGGGGACTGGCTGCAGGATCCTGAGGTGTGCCGGTGCACCTGAGGCTCTGCCCGGGATCGCGAGCCCTGCGGCTGAAGCAGCAAGGTCTCTCTCTCTTTGTTTTAAAAAAGATTGATTTTATTTATTGGAAAGAGAGTTACAGAGAGAGAAGGAGAGACAGGGAGAGGTCTTCCATCTGCTGGTTCACTCCTCAAATGGTCACAATGGCCGGGGCTGGGCCAGGCTGAAGACAGGAGCCAGGAGCTTTTTCAGGGTCTCCCACATAGGTGGCAGGGACCCAAGTACTTGGGCCATCTTCTGCTTTCCCAGGCCATTAACAGGGAGCTGGATTGAAAGTGGAGCAGCTGGGGCTCTTAACTGGTGCTGGTCTGGGCAGCCCGCATCTTAGGTACCAGCGTAACTTGGCATGCCACAGTGCTGGCCCTCTCTCTCCATCAGCTCCAGTTGCTTGCATATTGGACTGCGTGAAGCTGTCTCACACAGCACTGACGCCCTCTCGTTCTCCTTGGGTCTTTTTCCTCTGTGTTTTTTCTTTGCGCGTGTCTATTGCTGTGTCTTCACATGCACTACTGTTTTCTTCCGCAGGGTCTGATCTGCTGTTCATCTCATTCGTTGTGTTTTCATCTCAGAAATTGCCATTTTCATCTCTAGAGATTCTATTTGGGTCTTTTTTATATTGCAGTGTCTAATTTTGAGTATATAGTTGTAGGTTTTTTAAAATATTCTTGTTTGATAATTCTAATATTTGTGTAAGTTCCGAGTCAGTTTCTGTTGAGGAATTTTTTTCTCTTTGATACGGCAGATGCTTCAATTGATAGGTTCTGATTTCTGATACACAAACATCTGTTGAGTTTAATATGCTATTTTTGGTAGATTTTCATATTTCACTTACTGCTTGTTTCAAAGGCTTTATTGCCATTATTAAACTAAAATAAGCCTTCATATAATAAGCAGGTGTACCTAAACAAGATAACTGCAACAATGTTAAAAGATCACATTAAAAATATAAACACAAATGAACAAAAATTGACAGTTCTTCTTTTTTTTAGAGAACTTGTCACGTACACGAACAAATTGAAAAGATGGGTCAGTCAAATCTAGGAAGAAGTCAACAAAATGAAATTTGTTAAAAAGACTCCCACTGCTGCTACCAGTGAGGACGATTTATCAGCCACTTAGAGAAGAGCAAGAGCCAGGGATGGTAAAGAAGCAGTTTGGCTTGTGAGAGCTAAGGAGCTCCGTAGTCGCATATGAGATTCCCCAAGGAACCCAGGGACGATGATCCCAGGCCACCCACGTCTGTTGGCTTTGAAGCCAGTGGACATGGCCCGCTGTGGGTGTTAGCAGTGACTTTGAGATACAGTATGTCGAAAGAATGGCTTGAAGACATTGTTAATTATCCATGTGGAAATTATTCGTGATGGGACAGTCATCGGACCAGGGTCACCAGACATGTGGAAGCAGGAAATGATACAGAAGTGATATGAGAGGGGAGGAGAGCCCATTTTGAAAACAGTGGGTTTCTTTACTGGAGTAATCAAGCAATGGTTAGGAAGAGGCTGGCCGGTCTCCCCTTAAACATGCTTTGTGGTTCCCAAGAAAAATGTTAGCTCTTTGTATCCTGTCTGAAGAACTCTGAGAATGTAACTGCGGAGTACACGGGACAGACTGTCTCTGTGTCCTGTCCCCCAGTGCCCTTGATTTTGTCCTATCCCACGGCAGAGTCACTTTCTTCCCCGAGTATTCTCAGGTTTTCTTTTCTTTTTTTTTAAAGTAGTAGGAAGAAAATGCAAAATTTTCATATTACGCCATGAAGGTGGCATATTTCTTCTTTACCTGGACGTGGTAAATACAGGATTGTTTAGTGTATGAGGCTGTTTGACTACAAAGAAATTTCCTATTTAGTGTTTCCTTTGGCTACATATTCAGCCTTGTCCTTGCCCTGAAGGTTGTCATTCTAGGCATGGGTTTATCAACTCCTTTATCACCCTAGCCCAAAACATCAAACTTTTTTTTTTTTTACAATATCTTTGGCACACAGAAAGGCTTGACATAATGCACATTTTGAATGTGTACTTTTATTACCTAATTTTTGTGTGTAATAGATCACAAATATATTTCCGTATGTGACAGGTGTTCTATTAAGCATTTAGTACATGAGGCAGTTTGGGCTAGTTGGGGCTGTTTTGAATTAATTGTGACAAGCTAATAATATCTTTCAAAAGTTTCTTTCCAAACTTGTTGAGCTAATGTTTTCCCTCTGGCTAGTTGGGTAGACTGCATAGTATTTCTGATACTTTTTAAAGGCATGTGGGCAGTTACTGTTCATTTGAGCCAGATGTGTGTGTTAACTCCTTTTCCTGGAAAGGGAGAAGTTTTTTGGGGGGAAAGAGTTGCTGTAATAAATTAGCTTTATGTGACTGCTTATGGAGCTCATCTTCTCTTTAAATGAATTAGTAGGTGGAAGTTTTTTTTTTTGACAGGCAGAGTGGACAGTGAGAGAGAGACAGAGAGAAAGGTCTTCCTTTGCCGTTGGTTCACCCTCCAATGGCCGCCGCGGCCGGCGCGCTGCGGCCGGCGCACCGCGCTGATCCGATGGCAGGAGCCAGGAGCCAGGTGCTTTTCCTGGTCTCCCATGGGGTGCAGGGCCCAAGCACTTGGGCCATCCTCCACTGCACTCCCTGGCCACAGCAGAGAGCTGGCCTGGAAGAGGGGCAACCGGGACAGAATCCGGCGCTCCGACCGGGACTAGAACCCGGTGTGCCGGCGCCGCAAGGTGGAGGATTAGCCTAGTGAGCCGCGGCGCCGGCCAGTAGGTGGAAGCTTTTAAAAATACATATAGTCATAATCTTAAAATGAATTTTATTTTTCCTTTTTCAAAGAAGTACAGGCAGGTAAGTGAATTCTACAAGCATTTAATTTCCATTTATCCTCATTAACTCTTAAGCTACTGAACTTCAGTGATACTTCTTTTATTTTCACATTCAGAATTCTAAGAATTTGTGTTGTAAATTTGGGCTTTTGATGCAGTAGCCTTTGCACTTTCTGGTTTTGTTGATAGTAGGTTCTGAAGGTTGTTTCCTGGGAGACTTACCAAAATTTTCGTTTCTTCAAGGTGTCGACTTTAAGGTGAAAACAATTTCAGTGGATGGAAATAAGGCTAAACTTGCAATATGGGTAAGAGTTCTTTTTAATAAACTATTAAACTTGTGTTTTTTTAGGGGATTAGAAATTGATTTGTGTAGTGTTCTAGAGGTGAACAATTTGTATTAAATAACAGGAGATTTGATGCTGATTGAAGGGTAAGTAGTTATATCTTATAGCGGGGTAATTAGGCTGAGACTGACTTGATGTAATTTTTAAAAGTCATGGTCCCTTCAGGATATTCCAGAGCAGAACCGAGGATTCCTAAAATCCGTGTCGTCTGCTGCCTGCGTCCCTCAGAACTTTGAAAAGACCAGCTCGGCTGAACGAGCCCTCTAGGAACTGCTGAGGGGAAGGTCCTGAGTGACGTCTAAGGGGAAACATACTTTTCCTTTTTGTTCATATAGGTAGTCGTAAAGTTCGAGTTTGCCAGTTTGGGGTTATTTTTTAGTGCCTTGTTTTTTCTTACTGGCTGCTTTTCGTTTCCTTGTGAAGCCATCCTTTCTGAGCCACATCGCTCTGCTAATAGACCTCTTAGTGCTAGTGCTAAACAAACTAGCATTAACTGGCAAAAACATCCAAGACGCTGGTGTCCCTGTCTGTCTCTCCCAAGCGCCCTTTCTCCTATCTCTGTCTAAGTTTGATTGATAATATATAAATATATAAATATGTTTCATGGTATTTGTCTAATTTCCACAAATACTCTGATAAGTATATAAGATTTATCAAAAAGTTTATGGAAAATGGAATAAAAAGATAAGCTTATTTTGGTGTAAAACATGGTGAAATCCATGTGTAGTATTTTCCTTTTAAAAAAAGAAAGATTTATTTTATTTATTTGAAAAGGAGAGTTACAAAGAGAGAGGGAGAGACTGAGAAGTCTTCCATACACTGGTTCACTCCCCAAATGGCCACAGTGGCCAGCTCTGGGCCAGGCCGAAGCCGGCAGCCAGGAGCTTCTTCCGGGTGTAGGGACCCAAGCCCTTAGGCCATCTTTGCTGCTTTCCTGGGTGCAGTAGCAGGGAGTTGCTTCAGAAGTGGAGCTCCCGGGACTAGAACTGGCACAGCAGGTGGCAGCTTTACCTGCTACACCACAACACTGTCCCTAGTAATATTTTTAATAATACATGTTTTCCCATGAACTTTGTGAGTACCCCTCATATACACGTATTTCGAAAACTTTTGTACCAAACTGTATTTCCAATTCCATTTTTCACGGACATGTTGAAGTCCCCTCCTGTTCTCATAGCAGTGTTAGAACTGGCGAGCAGTGGTCAAATTGAGGCACTTCTGTGGAGGCTCAGTGGTCAGGCTTTGTATTCATCCGAGGGTATTCATCTTACTGGTGTTCTCCAAATGGTACCCTGTTTGTAACCTTAGTTATCCCAAGATAATAAGTAAGCGTGCTTAATGTTTTGAGGTACTTTTTTTTTTTTTTTCGAAAATAGAGTATTTTAAATGATTGTCTCTGCCCCTCTTCCCCAGATGTATTTAATCTCTATCAGAATGGTTATGTCTGTCAGAAAACGAAGTGGAAAATGTTGGACTTGACCACAGTATATTGTCAGTTTCAGAGGGCTGGTTTCCTCCTGTGCTAGAGCGGAGGCCTGCTTTTCCAGGCTGGTTTGTCACCCCTTTCTGTTCTGCTGAGGCTTTGGGAAATGTGTGAGTTGGAGTAGGACCTGAGAGGTGGTTGCAGTGCGTTTTTCATGTCAGACAGGAAGGTTCCTTTGGTTTTGCACTGTGTGATAAAAAGGCTGGCCAGGTGCTCGCGAAGAGCCATCCTCACCATAGGTCAGTCAGTGCTTTGTTAAAGGAAAGAGGTTTTCTCTCTGGCTGCAGCAGGGCACTCCGAGACCCGCAGAATCATTTTTTGCTAAGGCAACTACAGGCGGGACTTGAAAGTCAATAAATCTGTAGCAGGCCAGTTTTTAAGTTGATGGTTTTGTGTGGCCTACAAATGATGCTAGAAATACGCAAATAGTCCCCTGGTAGAAAAAAGGTTCCTCACCCCTGGGCCCTGAGAACAACGCAAGTTCTTTCTAAAAAGAGAATTTAGTAAGAAATTAATAAAGAAAATTCATCATTAATTAATTAAATAATAGAAAGGCAAAGAGCCAGAGATAGAAACAGAGATTTTCCAGATGCTGGTTACCTGCAGCAGCCCTGTGTCAGGCCAAAGCCAGGAGCCTAGAACTCCATCCAGGTCTCCCACATGGGTGGCAGGGACCCAGGTTACTCGAGCCAGCACATGCTCTGTCTCTCAGGGTGTGCATTAGCAGGACATTGGAATGAAAAACGGAGCCCACAGAAGCAGAGCCCATACTCATCTGCAGGCACTTCCATATATATGTGGGATGGGACATCCCAAGTAGTGTCTTAACTGCTGCACCAAGTAACTTCCCCAGAGTTCATTTGTAAGCAGTGAATACATATTAGTGAACCTCCCTTAAATTATTGAGGCACATGCGTATGTACCGTTACACATTTATACATACGCACTTTTCCAAAAAGAGATTACAGCTTTTTTTTTTTTTTTTTTGACAGGCAGAGTTAGACAGTGAGTGAGAGAGAGAGAGACAGAGAGAAAGGTCTTCCTTTTTCTGTTGGTTCACTCCCCAAATGGCTGCTGCAGCCAGAACTACGCCGATCCGAAGCCAGGAGCCAGGTGCCTTCTCCTGGTCTCCCATGTGGATGCAGGGCCCAAGGACTTGGGCATCCTCCACTGCCCTCCCAGGCCACAACAGAGAGCTGGACTGGAAGAGGAGCAACCAGGACAGAATCCGGCACCCCAAGCAGGACTAGAACCCGAGGTAGTGGCGCCGCAGGCGGAGGATTAGCCTAGTGAGCCACGGCACTGGCTTTATTTATTATTATTATTATTATTATTATTTACCTATTTGTCCTCCTCCTGTGCTCACCCATTCAAGTATGCATCTTTCATCAGTATAGAGATACATCAGTTTAAGTGGCCATCTGGTATTCCGTTTCATGGCTCTACCTAACTATAGGGAACCCTAAGTGTGAGATCTTGAACTGCTGCCGGTTTTTAGAGACAAGTGAAGTTTGATGGGTATCCTGACTAATATATCTCTTTATACTTGCCCAGCTGGCTTCGAGTGTGAAGATTTAACACTGATGTAAACTGAAAAGTCTTGTTCCTCCCACCAGTTATATGTTCATGCCCACTCTTTCATGCCTGTATCTGTACTAAATATTGTTTGTCTTTCACAGTTTTTCACTTATGTTTGCATTTCTTTTGACAAGTGAGGTTCTTTTTTATGTATTTATTGGCTGTTTATATACTTTGCTCATTTTATTTGAGCATTTATCATTTCATGATAAAGTCTTTATATAATAAGATATTACTTCTTTATCATATGCTATATTTTTTCTACTCTGCTATTTATCTTTAAAATATTCTTTAAGATGGATATTTGGGGCCAGCGTTGTGGTGTAGTGGGTTAAGCTGTCACCTGCAACGCAGGCATCCCAGCTGGGTGCCAGTTCAAGTCCTGGCTGCTCCATTTCCAGTCCAGCTCCCTGCTAATGCACCTGGGAGAGCAGCAGAAGATGGCCCATGTACTTGGGTCCCTGCCACCCATGTGGGAGACACTGATGGAGTTGCAGGCTCCTGGCTTCAGCCCAAACCAGGCCTGGCCATTGCGGTCATTTGGGAGTGAACCATCAGATGGAAAATCTCCCTTCTCTCTCTTGTCTCTCCTCTCTGTATAACTCTGCCTTTCATATAAATAAATAAATATTTTTTTAAAAAGATGAGTATGTGTGTGTGTGTGTATGTATGTAGTACACACTGTCATACTCCAGGTTTTTTCTTTTCAGTTTGTCATTTAACTTCGATCTTGTTAAGGATGAGTGTGTAGATGGGGGTCATATGGTCAGAGCAGTTATTCATGGCATCTGGATGTCATGTCATGTTTTGGAAGGCCTTTCTACTCAATATTTTAAATATATGAATCCATAGTTTCTTCTAATTGTGCATGTTTTTATTTATACAAATAAAATGAGTTCATCCCCCACTTGGAAGCCTCTTCTAGGATCAAACAGAATAACCCTGTCCCATTGCCTTCTGAAGTGCGTTCTCATTATAGCCTGCATGTCATCAGCAAAGATGTTTTTTTCCACTGCCTTTTCTATGTCCTTGCCTCACTTCCACTGCCTGTGTTCTATTATTCAGCCTTTCTAGATATTTTATAGCCCGTGATGTATCCATGTCCATCTTCAGTAGTCTCCTCTCTCCTTCCCCCATTAGAAAATAAACCACAGGAGACCAAGAACTCTGCCTTTTATCTTGAAAAGATTTCATTACACTTGCCATCTGCTCCTATTTTGAAAACAAACACAAGCAAAAATCTCACATCTGATGATGCAGTTACATTTTGTAGTTGCTATAAGTCCTGATCTAATGCCATGGCACAGGGCTTCCAAATTATCACATCTATGTAAACATGTTTGTAAGTGGATCTATAATAATTAATATTCATAGCATAATTAATATGCATGTGTGAAATGTCAAAAGCATGTAATAGCTTACCGTTAAAACATTTTTGCCACTGTACTCCATCAGTATGTATGTGTATGTACCAATTAGAAATAAAATTTCTAAGTGGAAATGTAAAAAAAATTTTTTTTGCGGGACGTGCGTTCCCATTTGTAGCTTGTGTCTCATTGAGGTGGTTTTTGACGGCAGTCCATGTGCCCTTGCCTTCTGCCAGATTGCAGATCTGTTTACTAAAGTTTCAGATGTGGTTTCATCATGCAGATACGATGACATTTTTCCTGTCACCAAAAAAGTCTTGGGACTCAACTAGTTCTTGGTCCTTGCTCCAAACTACTCGTTAAGAGAATGGATCAGTGTTCGGTATGGAAAAACAGCTGATTCTTAAATTCTAGAATTCTCTGTCCAAAATTTAGTCTCTTAAATAATGACTTTTTCTTCTTATCCCCCTCTTGGAGTAGGGGAAGGGGGAAAGTTGCAGTACTCAAAGTTAAATGGGTAACATGATGGAATTCTGAAAGTTACAACATATCTGGATAGTAAGTAATTTGAAAGGTGCTAACTTACTGTGGTGTGTGCTGTTTTGTTTTGTGCTCTGCCTTACAGTGAGTGGCCAGGGGCTAGGGTTTCTTTAACACAGTGGTGTGTCTTCTCTCAGGGCCTGTGGTTCCAGGGCTCCTGCAGGTGCTCCAGTCCCTACATAAAATGATGCAGTGTTTGCACAGAACTCAAGCACCTCCCACGGTGTGCTTTAATCATCCCTGGCTTGCTTTCAGCACCTAATACGGTGGAAATGTGTGGAAAGAGTTGTTAACACCATGTTGCTTAGGGAATAACTACAAGAAGAATAGACCTGTTTTGTGTTCAGTAGAGACAAAATACTTTTTTCCTAAATGTTTCTATGTGTGGATGCAGAAGTCATTCCCATGGGAGGGGTCAACTGTATTAATTTTTATTTTGTTTTTATGACTCCAATTTTCTGAGATAGGTACTGATCCAAGGCTATGGGCATTTCTAGTTTCTAGATAAATACTTTTCCTCAGTTGCTTTCCAGAACAGGTGGGAAGCAGACTTTTAGCCTAGTGGTTAAGAGGCCCACATCTCACAGTGGTGATCCCCACGTAGCTGGGTCCTTGACTCCCACGTGGGAGACCTGGATTAAGCTTCAGCTCCCAGCTTTGACTTTGGTCCAATCCTGGCCACTGTAGGCATTTGGGAGTAAACTCTGGGTGGGAGTTCTCTGTGTCTCTCTTGTCTTATCTCTGTTTCCTTGCCTCTAAAATTAATAAAAAATATTTAAAGTAGTGGTTGGTTTTTTTTCCTGTCAAACTTGAATCTTAATCTTTTGATCTTAGTGATCAAAACATATTTCTGCACATCCAGACATTCATGTGGTGTTTTTTTTTTGTTTGTTTTTTTTGGACAGGTAGAGTTAGACAGTGAGAGAGAGAGATAGAGAGAAAGGTCTTTCTTGCATTGGTTCACCCCCCAAAATGGCTGCTACGGCCGTTACTGCACCGATCCGAAGCCAGGAGCCAGATGCTTTCTCCTGGTCTCCCATGCGGGTACAGGGCCCAAGCACTTGGGCCATCCTCCACTGCCTTCCTGGGCCACAGCAGAGAGCTGGACTGGAAGAGGAACAATTGGGACAGAACTGGCACCCCAACTGGGACTAGAACCCGGGGTAGTGGCGCTGCAGGCGGAGGATTAGCCTAGTGAGCCACGGCGCCAGCCGTGTGGTGTTTTCTTGGGGAAATAAAAACAAAAAAAAAAAATTTGTATCGTGTGGAATATTGCCATCCTATAAAAAGAAAAAAAAAGAGTGTTTTGTGGCGGTTTTAATTTTATTTGTGGTTTTTTTAGAGGTGGGGGATTACATCACAGAAAATATTATTATAAAGGAGTTTTTTATAAAAACAAAAAAGAGAGCGGCCGCCGCGGCGATAGAGTATAAACCTTTTTCTTCGAGCGCCCAACCACA